ACCCCCAGGGTAGGGGAGAGCACCACCTCCCTTGGGAGCCCGTTCCAGACCTTGGCCACTCTAACTGTGAAGAAGTTCTTCCTAATGTCCAGTCTAAATCTGCTCTCTGCTAGCTTGTGGCCATTATTTCTTGTAACCCCCGGGGGCGCCTTGGTGAAAGAGTATTAAATAAGAATATTAAATAAGAATATTAAAGAGTAGTGGTCTGAGTACTAAGCCCTGAGGGATGCCACTGGTCACCAGGCACCACGTTGACCCAGTTACATCAACTATCACTCTCTGAAAGCTTCTCTGAATCCCTAGCAGTTTTCATTTGCAGTGTCTCTTTGTAGAAGAATGAGGATAGAAATCAAAAGGAAATCTGGCTTCTAAGCAGACAGCCCTTAAAACAGGAGGTTGGGCTGAACATTAAACAGGAAATAGCTTCCAGGTGTCAAAAAAAATGAGGTGACAATAAAGGTATATGAAGAAAGAAAATAATTTTCAGCTACTCCCCCCACCAATGTTCTGCACTGCCTAGAATGAGGCCACTTTTTTAAGCTGTAAGAGGGGACACAAAAAATGCAGGTCATAGATACGTTTGCTAGTAGATGCAAGTGGGAGTTGAAGCTGCTTGGCCCCAGCAAAGTTTCCAGGCCAAGAATCAATCTCTCTGGTGTATTTCTGTAGACATCAGCAAACACCACAGCATGAAAGCAGCTGCACCGAACAGAGATTTCTACGCACCATTTACATCCTGCTAAAATCTCACTACAGAGCCAGAGAAAATCACAACCAAAAAAGCTAGAGTTGTTTAAAAGCTCAGTAATTGTCTGTCTCTGATTTTCTATTTGCTGCATTAATTAATCTAAAACAAATTATTTGTTCCTTGTGCTTTATTTGTCCATAAGGGAAATGAAAGATTGAGCTCCCTTCAAACAGAGTGCACTGTCAAAAGTTCTACTCCCTGGGAAACAGGGCATCAAGGGATCCTGGGGGCTGAACTCCTATCATGTTTAAGACTCTCAAGATGCTCTGATGTTTTTGCCATTTTCCAACTAATTCACAAAGTTTAAAGTTAGGAGATCCGAGAGGCAGTTCTTTTTGCGCTGATCCTATTTCTCTTACCACCGTTCATTACTTGTGTTCCGATAAGGATATTCCAAGCCAACTTTGAGAATGGTTTTGCTAATGGGTAAAAACTACAATAGTAAAAGTTAGAGGTGCACCGCTATATTGGTCTAATATTGGATCAGCACCAATATAAAGAAAATAGACTGTATTGGAAATCAGCTTTTTTTCCTAATGTGGCCGATAATGTGGCTGATAAATACCCCATCCATAAGCGCAGCTGCAGCACAGCACATAGGTGGCGAGGAGCACAGCCTGGCAGCTTGGAGAGCTGTGTCTAGCTGGTAAATCTGTTGTGGAGGAAGTGGAGGGGAAAGGGAAGGGGTGTGGGGGGGGCAGATCAAGGCCCCTGTAGTGAGCGAGGAGTGGGGCTGGGGCAGGGCATGGCACAAGATGAAGCCATGGCTCATCCAGGGAGCGGGGGGGGGACAGCTTCCACGCACACCCTGGGAGGGCACAGGGGGACATGTGCCCCAGATCTGTGAGGCGGGGGCTGCTGCTGCAGGCCAGAGCTATGCTGGGCTCTTCCCAGTGGGAGCTGAGCTGCACTTGGAGCAGGCGGTGGTGGCACTACAGCAGTTGGGGGTCTATGGCGAATTTTGAGGTGGCTGGAGGCCCCCCCCAGTACTGCCGCTGCCCGCCCTGAGCGCAGCCCAGCCCTCTGCCAGGAAGAGCCTGGCTCAGCAGCAGCCTGCAGCAGCAGCCTGCCCTGCACAGATCTGGGGGGCACCCCCCCATGCCCTCCTGGGGTGCATGTAGCAGCAAGAGCTGCACCCCCTGGACAAGCTGCAGCTCCCTTCCATGTCCTGCCCCAGCTGGACAGCGCCTGCTTGAGCCCCACTCCCTCCCTCACCTCAGGGGCCTCAATCTGCACCCCTCCACACCCCTTCTCTTCCCCCTCACCTTCCACTATAACAGACTTACCAGGCGGACACTACTCTTCAAGCTGCCAGGCTGTGCATCGGAAATCAGATCGGTATCGGCCAATATGCCTCCTTAAAAAAAAAAAAATCGGCTATCGGTATCAGCCCCAAAAATCTCTATTGGTGCACCCGTAGTAAAAGTCATTTGCATTTGCCAGTGCGGACAATGATTTAATTTCAAGGCATATTGTTCTAGGGAAAGCAGGGACAGTGGATATACCAAACATACAGCATATTACCATCATCTCTCCCTTCTGATTTAACACCTTTTAAAAAAGGAACGTTTCATGTGTTTTACAGGCAGCACGGCTTTCAGAGTTCTTTACAAGAAGGCAAATGTTCTTCTCTAGGCAAAAGCAGGTATTACTTATTAACTCACTTGCCTTCCTGGGGGATGGAGCAGTTAGAGATCTCTTTCCAAGTCTTTAAAATAAATAGCAAGCTTCTGTGTTTAAAGTGAATAAATAGCAGAATAATCAATTTAAATCTTAAAACTCTACACAAACACACAAGTGGGACCTAAAAATCATGAAATAAAAAAAGAGGGGGTTAAGAACTCCAACAGAACACAAATTTTTCCATAAGATGACGTGCAAAATTAAGATATCCCTCTCTGCAATGAGGCCAAGCCTTGGACCTCTATTTTAAGAAAGAATGACTGCTGGATGGATGGAGCCAGTTTCATGTTACACTATAGCTCTCTCTCAAGTAGTTAGTGGCAGTTGACTGAAAGTTGTCTGCCAATGCTGCCAAGACTCGAGTTTAATAAACCTTTAGTAGTGTTTGACCAGCTTGCGTTAAATGCAAGCTGAAACAAATCAAAAATCAATCTACGAGACACAAGCTGATCTAATGCGTTTTTAAAAAGTTGGATGAACTTTC